ATCGGGAATGCAGCCGCCGTAGCCGGGATTCGATCCCGTGACCTGCGGGTCAGCAGCCGAGTACCTTAGCCACCAGACCACCGCGGCGGAACATGCATGTAGTGTGTATACATCGTCATGTAAATTGCGTAAATTGTAATGTGTTTGTGAGTTCGTCCATATAGTAACAAGTACGTGTTTCAGAGATCACACGGACTTCAACATTTCGTGACGTTCCCTGTACTTTAAGATTAGTCATTGTGCGTGTACGTGCGTGTGTATGTGTGTGTCCGTTACTGTCCTTGTTGTACAGACACTATGTCCAATTGGTTTGTCACATGCTAGGGCCCATGAACGTGCGGAGTGCCATGGCTTCTCTCTTCCGACATAGGACTAGCACACGGCTGGGTGGGCACCTATCTGATTGGTCCGCTGCCTAGCCTCTCAGCACTAAAATAAAGTTGTTTGTTTGTCAGTCTAAACAAAACTATCCAACATGTTACAGGAGCTATATGCTCCTGCTGCCATTGCAAGCAGCAGCATAGATGATGTATATGCTTCCCTGATATGCTCCACTCATCCACGGAGTCCCTCGAGAAGTGAAAGCGATCACCGCCGTTCTTTCCAGCGATTGTACACGGATCCGGCGATAAGCTCGCTACATGTGCTTCACAGAACGAGCTCTGGGGTGAGATTCCGCAATCTTGTTGGCCACGCTATATACAGGCGAGTGTGTCGTCGATTGCACCACCGCGAAAAAAGAGGCTGTTTCTACCCGGCATCAAAGAGGGAAGGGGGGGGGGGGAAAGCCGTGTGACGGAAGCAATGTGATACTGTTGCATATATCAGCTCGCAACCGCCGACTCGGCACTCCGTGTATACGGTCTGTACATGTTGCGGAGGGAGGATGGGGTTCCGCGGACGCGCTCGAGTGCGCATCGCATCGGCAGCGATATCTGAGCGGGCCGCGCCCGGCAATTTCGACGCTGGCCTCGCCCTTGAGGGCGCAGAGGTGATAGCTGTCGAGAGGAAACACTTTCCCTGCGACAAGGGAGACATAGAGAGCTGTATAGATTAGGCTGTATAGGAGAGCGCTGCACGGACGCGAACTGCATGCACAAAGTTGCAAGAGACACGGACAGAAGGGAGACACGATGAAACGAACGTCATCGCGGAACGTTTTCGCATCTTAAGCTAAATTTTTCTAGACAGCGGTAAGGAGAGGAGCAGGATGAAATAGTATTACAAGTGGCACGCTAACCCGCAAAGTAGACCCTTTTCATAATTTTAAAACTAGTTTTCTAACCACGTGGTTTGTTTGAGTAATGACAGATAGACTTGCTGGAAACAGCGTGTTAAAGCGCAGTTTGCTTGCGCTCTAATGTGGAAAACGCATATCCAGCCCTCTGCATGAGTCCATGGTCTCATTCACGGCCACACGTGATGCTGTTCACCGCTTCCGTCCTGCCGGGTGGCAGCACCATCTCGTCAGCTAAAAGAATTTTTCGTGCGTAGCTTCGGATTTTCAGCACAACGTAAGAAACACTAGGGTCTCTACAATTACGTATTTACGTATTTTCTAGTAAATGAACACACCACCTAATATTTGCGTATTAATATGCGCGATATTTGCTTTTTGATCGACAATGTTCAGAAGTATGAACGCAGCCACCAGTTCAAAATATCTGGGCGTTCAGCAAGTGCTTAAACTTTGCCCGATTGGCTGAATCGTGTGAGTAATTCAATCGTGTGACAGACATACAGATCTACAGACCAAAATTTCTGCTCCCAAGTATCCCGAGAAATGCTCTCGTGTCTGAAACAAAATCCAGAAGGTATATATTTTTGGACGGGAGCATTGCCTATACTACTTGTCGAATTCATAAACCAGATGTTCGAAAGGCTATCCGGAGTCTCCACAAGCATTTATACAATCGTGGCTGATGTGTGCCGGGATAAGTTCATCTCCTTTAGCTGGTCTCCAATAACCGACTTGGCCACGAGCCCACCTTCTCACCCCACTACACCCGCCATACTTTCTTCGTCCCCTAGACTCGCTCATGCACAAAAAGAAGCTTCTTTGAATTCGCTAAGCTGCAGCATCCTCGTAGTGCATCAGGAACAACACGTGTCTCCACGAAGGAACCATCACCCCGCCACCTATGACAACTGTTCTTCCAGGGGGCGCGTGCCTCCAGCCGGGCAGCGCGCGACAATCGCGACAGGGGCAAACACTCGACGCCGTCGCGAGGCGAGGGTCGCTGTCGTCGCGTCGCGGCCAAGATAGACAACGGCCGGCCATTTCGGCGCAAGTTCATTAAACCTTCGCGTCTAAGGTCATCTTACCCGGGGCCCGTGTGCGTCGGGACGCGGTTTTGCAAGTCGTCCCGTTATCTAGGAAGAAGAAGAAGAAGATCGCAGACGTCGGCGGCGGCGGCAACTCGCGCTGCAGTGCGGTAGTCTAGCGACCCACTCGACGCGGCGGCTGAGGACCCCCCGTCGACTGTCTGCTACCGCCGCCGACGGCGGCGGGGAACGCCGGGTATTTACGCACCCCGTGGGAAGCGAGATGAGGTGCGCCTGCTGAACATAGCTCGTGCAAGTTGCCAGTAATGCGGGCGGCAGCGTCTGACAAGCTGTCCCTCTCACTCTCTGTCTCGTTTGCGCGTATGCGTAGACACGCGTGTATTCATGAATGAAAAAAACAAAGCATCTGGACCATGACGAGCTCCTTCGTTCAGAAAGGATGGCTGTCTGCAGGAACCAATTATGAACTTGGCGAGCAAGATAGTCTACACAAGACAGCGACGCCGCCTTGTTTTGCGAAGTGGTGAACGCGATAACGTTCGTGAGCGTGATTTGATGATGGCAGATGGGCTTATCCAGACAATGTGTCAAACAGGTCTTTGATACATGGCACGCATAGGCGAAAGATACGTGATGTACCGCATGGCTACGACAAGACTGCGGATGATCCGTTGCACAGAAAAAGGTGAAGCTTTAGTACAGTGATGACACTACGCTAATTGGTGCCAATAAAACGGACACCGCCTAGTTGTGGCAAATCGTTAAACGGAATAACGACATTAGGAAACGTCCGGCCACACAGTGAATTCAGCTTGCAAAAGACATGTACGTGAGGCCACGGGGTCATCAATCGGTATCAGGGACAGACCTTTGTCCTGCGCATTCCGTTACACAGTAGGCTGAAGGTGGTGATTGATGCTTGAAATTCTCGTAACATTGCAGCAACAGGTAAGAGACGTAGCAACTTGGGCAGCTTGCTGGAGCTCTTCGCTCAGGCTTCTCAGCCGACGAAGTCATCTTACCTAGCAATCACGGAAAGCACTACGGAGAAGCTCGCTTTCGGAGTTTTGAATAAGAACCGCATTTTTCCGAAGCGATGTTTCCCGTTCTTCTCCGAACATAAAATGCTCAATCGGGAGTACAGAATGTTGTTATAAACGTCAGCAATAAGAGTGCGCTTGGAGGAGGGAGTAATGCCGAGTCAATAATGCATAGGAAGGAACGTTCCAGACACGAACATAAACAAGCATTTGAATACTGAGCCAAACGCATTGATTATGGCCATCGTCAGCTCTGCAGAAAGCTGCACTGCACTTAATATTAGCATGCTGGTCGGAGCACATACTTTTTCCTCAAGCTTCTCGCAACCGACCGCAGCGGTGGCAAAGTGGTAGAACGTCCTCATACTGGTCATCGGTCAAGTGGTGTCTCCTCTCCCTCTTTCTTGCTCCTCCGACGATGCACCACACTTACTTGTACGTGTTGCAAAGATTAATGTACTTCCTAACCTCAAACCTGCAACTGCTTATCAGCCTCAACCATGTTGTTCCATTGAATGTTCTCACACGTTGCTATCTCCTTCACGAGCCCCTTAACCCCTTCCCCCCTCCTCCCCCCCCCCAGAAAAAAAAAAAAACGAGCGCATTATTCTCTCCCGGTGTTTCCAGTCTTTGCGGCAGAATTCGTGACGCCAACTGTCTGTTCACGTGACGTTATAATGGAGCAGGATTCTCGATTGGTCGATACGCGAGAGGTATCATGGGGTGAACGGGCGCAGCGTGTATAGCTTGCCAGTGGCGTGCAGTCGGCAAGGCCGGCATGCCTTGTCTCGCGTGATTATCCTGGGCGATAAACTGATAACACTCCATTTTCCGCGTTTGAGACTTCGCAAGCGGACATCGCAGCGTGTTGTCGAAAAGCGCGAAGTCCTTACCGGCTCAATGCTTAGTGCTGATCATTCCACGTGCTTTACGAAGAAATAAGTGGAGAGGTAGAAGATGGCATTTGTAGGAAGTGTAGTTAACGCGAGAAAGAAACTATGCTTTCTCGCCTTTGAACTCTGTGTGGTTTAGGGCCCTTTATGTGCCAAATCTTTTCGAAACATATACACACACCCATTCGTTCACCTCTTAAGGAAGCGGACGCACAGGGCTGTCTTTTATGTCTCGAGACCTTCCTTGTACTTTTGAGCTTTACTGAAGGTTCGCGCTATAGGACGGTATGGCGACACGCATTAAGTGAACAGCCGACGCCGAGGAATTCCAGGAGGAGGCAGTGCAGCCACTCCGACTCACGTCCTTATTTGTGCACGCCTGCTTAATTCTGCGGAGAATGCGTGCGCTGTTCTTCCGCTGGCTGCATGCGGACCCGGCGCGCGCTGTTATTTAGGGAAACGTGCTGTGATAAAGCAAGCCTTGAGGCGTCCGTGAAGGCCCGAATGCGAGCACTGTCAGTGTCCCCCCAGCGCGGCGCTTATAGTCGACGTTTCGTTAACGTTCAGCGAGGTTATAAGCTGCTCCCCCCCCCCCCCCCAAAATAATAAAACGCTATACATGTGGCGGTGCGCTGCATACGTCACGATTAATCAGGTCGATCCCGGTCATATGCTATAGCTATATCCAGGAAACCAGGCGACAAACGTCCGGTTTACTGAATATAGCCAGCCCCTTAAGCGGGACCTTATCCAGAAATGTGCGTCTACAGTGAACACTGACCAAGGATTCTCTTCCCGGTGGAGGTTCCGTGATGGCGTGCACTTTGCGGCCTTCGGAGTCGTAGGCGTGCACCACGATGCCCAGGTTATCCCTTGGATGCCGGAACCAGTGCGAAACCAGCTTCTTGGCGTCCATCTGCACCCAGAACCCGCGCCGAAGGTTGCCCTTCTCTTCTTTCGTCCGCACCTGCCACAGAAGAATGCACGCACATTGTAACAAGCATACAAATTAACACGTGCAAGATGTGTTTTGGGTTACCAAGAGCCCCCTGGTGCCAGCAAAGAACAACACACTCATATAAAATCCAGGTTTAAACAGACCACTGAAAAAAAATTAACGAGACACTCATCATTATGATGGGCATGGCATGTACCGCGGTGCTATTCGTCTTTCGCAGTAGTGTGCATGTGAACAAGGGGTGTCGTTATTATTATTATTTTTCTTTTCAATATCCATTCGCTCAGATATACCGCAACGCGAGTGCTACAAACGCCCACCACGCGGATTCACTTCTATCAAAATAAAAATTTATGTCAGCAAATAAGTAAGAGGCCTGAGGATACAATTTACTTACGGCTTTAGCTGCACCGTGAATAGGTATAACTTACTTTTAGGCGTGCTGACCCGTCTATATGGCATTGAAGAATGGAACGCCGTAGGGCACACGAAGGGTGATGCCATTTTACAATTGAGAGCCTGGCTGCCTCACTATACAAATGTGGGCCGCGGCTTCGTAAAACTGCAAGGCGGCTATACTTCGTTCTTCGACTGCGGCCGAGATCTTATAGGCTGGGAATAATTAAACGAAGAACAAAAAAAGGAGGGCGAGCGGGGTGCGTTCAGTGCGTGTATACCGCTACCTCGAAGGTGCCGAAACTCCAAGGAGCATCATTATCACCATCCTCATCGAAGGGGGCGAACAAAAGCGGCGCTCCGGATGGGTGGGGAGTGGCCCCGCTGTCACCATTCGTCAGGGCCTTCGGAACCGGTTCGCGCAGTCGATGCTGTGGGGAGCACGCGGAGGGAAAGTGATCGTAATAAAAAATGAAAGGGCACCACGAGAGCGGCACTGGATTCACTTCGCTGCATGGTGGTCGGCAGGATTTTCTCTTGAGAGGTGCAAACCAGTGTTGCATCGCGCATGGGGGCAGAGCACTGTTGGGTGAGGGCATGTGGTGATGTGGCTTGAGGGGGGAAAGTGCCTCTTTTGCATCCCCCTTCCGACGCCCATGCTTGCGAGCACGTCTTACATGCACTGAGAAACGAAACACGACACTCCAGAGAGAGCACGTCGAGAGTGGTCCTGCATCGCACGGCCACTCTCGACATGAAGGAACGACGTAGTACGTAGTACGGCTGGTGTACGATAGTGGGTCAAGTATAGTTAAACGGTAACAAAAATAAAAATCAGCTGATACAATGCCGTATAGTGAAGAAGACGCTGCGTGTGCATGGAGAGCACAAAACCGTACGGCTGTATACACATAAGCACATCATATACGCGCGCTAGGGTCGGCATGTCTGCCTACCTCAGCGTCTATCAACTTTAAAGGGGCCCTGAAACACCTTTTCAGAATGGTCACAAAACGCTGCCTATCGGTAGTCGGGGTTTCTAAGAACACGCGAGGCATACATAATAAGCGCGGAACACAGCCTCTAATTTACAATAAAATTTGAAAGCCAGCTATAAATTGTCCCATCTTTCTACAAATGACGTCAGATACCTAAGTGGCCGTGTCATATAACGAAATTTACGGCTATTGGCTTATTTGAAGATCGCGAGCCGCACAGTTACCGAAGATGCTCGCGGGAGGCCGCCACGTGGGCGCTCGCGATCACGCTGAAAGTAAAGCCGCACGTTCAAAAAAAAAAAAAAAAAAGTGCTCGAGGTTACGCCGCGCGCGAGAACTGTAGCTTCTTGTCCTCTATATGTTCGTCAACGCTCAGTTTTCGGCATGAAAATCGAGAGAAGTCGGCAATAAATAAGAGACAAAGAAATCGCAGTGTGCAACAAATATGCCGTAACTCTACTCGTACTCCACGGATTCCATAAAAAAAATATTTTGCGGGGGTCGATTCATGAGGCAATAAGCTCATTTAATCAAGTCATTAGGTGGTTACTAGGAAAAGTGCTGCTGGGCATATTTACGGCAGAAACACAAGAGCCAAGTTAAACAGTTGCAGCCTTGACAAGTTCAGCTGTGACAAGTTGCAGTTTTGACAAATCCGCTTGTCAAAACGTTGGCTCCAGCAATATGCAGCATTCAAGAATGTTTGATCTTTCGACGCTACCATCTTCCCTTGACAATACATGTAGCCTTCACTAACGAGACAAGTATAGCCCTCATCCTATTTGTGTACTGCAACATTCCCTTCTCTTGTATACCGAATGCATAATAGTAAAGATGGGACAACATGCCACGCTGCGAACTTGGAACTTCTCGAACAGACTATAGGTGATTGAACAGTGGCACAATAGGTCAATCTGGCAGCTCAGCTATGATGGAAACACCAACGCTGTATTCCAGTGTTCGGGAAGACCCAGCCCACTGAAACCTACAGATAATGAGTCTAAGTCAGAGTACACTAATCTGTGGGTTCTTGCTGTAGTGAATCAATTGCGGCATAACGGGAACGGACATATAGAGGATGAAAATTCAACCTGCCGCAGGTGACGTTCTTTCGTCCACTTTAATGCATTTTCCACTCGTGTCATAATTATTATACTACCATCAAAGCCTACAAATAATGTCCCCCGTACATTCCTTAGCTTCTCTATCGGGTGGTTTCATTATCTTGCGTCTAACAACTGAGGAAACAAGCTCTCGATCGATTGCCCCTGTCTCGCTCAAGGCTTGGGAAGGCCACACTGACGTAATTCAAGCGCAGCGTTTACAATGTAAGCGATTCGTGTGCAGCATAGGAACGCGTACCTTGACGAGGTGCAACTCGGGCACGGCGGCAGCGTCCCTCGCCACCTGGTAGAGGGTCACCCATACGGCCGCCGTCGAAGACAGCGACTGGTTGGAGCTGACGAACACCCAGAGATGCGCCTTGGACACGTGAAGGTTGAGCGCCGCTTCCGAGAAGCGAAAGTGCACCGCCTGCCACTCTGACATCAGGCCCAACTCGGGAGGCGCTGCGTGGAGACAAACGACACCGACATCAACACAGAGCCGTTCGACTACTCGATACATAACAGATTCCACAAAACAAAACCTGTCTTCGTGTACAGAACACAGGCCAAACGAAGTATACAGTGCGCACAAAATACTCTGCCTCAAGAACAGTTCTATGTCACAAAAACTATATTTATGAGAATAAAGAAAGAAAAAAAGTCATCGGAGAGGATGAAGCATTCATGAACCAGTCGCGTAAAAGACAGCTGTCATCCTCCTCCGTCGATGACAAGAAAGATGACGAAATGACACATGAAAACAATTGGTTTCCATGCGTATTTATCTATACCGCATGCTAGTATCAGTCCGGCGTGCATGCATGAGCTGTGTTACAATACTCAACGTAGACGGCTAAATAGACAGCTAAATGGACAGCGGCCATCTTAAGTCCCATTCCAATTCTCGCGTAGCCGGCAAAGTAGACATGTAGCTCCGAGAAGACCGCATCGTTGACAAATACGATGCAGGCTACTTCGCTGTCTAAACAAGATGGCGGCTTAGCGAATCACTCAGATTGATCAAATCTCGCCAGAATGGTGCTCAAAAGCAGACGCTTTCCCAGACGCTCAATGTGAGTAACGTTTATTTGTTTTTGATTTCAATACGAAATAAGCCAGAAATTACTACTGTTACGTTTGTTTCTTTTAGCTCCTTCTTCTTGACGTGAGGTGGCGCATCGTCGCGTAAAAGCTGTCTAACCGTGTTCCAATTCTCGGACAGCATGGGCTCGGTGCGGTCTTCTAAGCAGACTGCGTAGACTGTCTACGTGCTGTCTAAGAATTGGAACCTAGCCATGGTTGCTCCCCGGTTATAGTACTTGGCTGCTGTATGTCAAATCACGTGCTCGACCCCGGCCATGGCGGTCGGATTTCGGAGGCGAAATGGCAGGAGGCCCGCGTATACTGTCAGTGCACATAAAGATGATGATATGTGGGGTTTAACGTCCCAATATGATTATGAGAGACGCCGTAGTGGAGGGCTCCGGAAATTCCCACCACCTGGGCTTTTTTTAACGTGCACGCAAATCTGAGCACACGGGCCTACAACATTTCCGCCTCTATCGAAAATGCAGCCGCCGCAGCAGGGATTTCATCCCGCGACCTGCGGGTCAGCAGCAGAGTACCTAGACCACCGCGGCGGGGCAGTGCACGTAAATAAAAAAAAAGGCATATAGGTGGTCGAAATCACCGAAGCCCTCCACTACTACCTGCCTCATATACGGTGGTTCTGGCACGCAAAAACCTCAAATATAAATTATGCTATAACTTATGCAAAACGTGTAATTCCGCATAGCGTGGTTTTAAAATGCAGCTTCTGCATAACTTGCTTTCGCTGGCGTCGTTTTCCGGCCGCATAGTAACGACAACGAATATGGCCCCCCGAGTCACGTGGTACAAGCACGGAGCAACGACACACGCTGTCGATGCGCGCGCCACCGTGCGTGCAGGGCATACGTATCGCCAAGGTCGAACAGCTGAAACACTGTTGTATCCCACCACCACTGAAAACGATGTATCAGCCGCCTCGGACGGAAGAAATAAAAAAAAAATGCCGTTTGCTCTTCACGCAACGTGACACTATAAACGTATCCACGAGGCTGGGCAAGACGAATAGCTCAAGCATTTCGCGCACCGTCCTTGGTCGCAACAGCAGCAGCATTCGAGAGAGCAATCAACTCTAAAGAAAGGCACGCACAAGGCAAGTATGCAGCGCGATTAAAGACCAGATGGACGGCGAGATAGATGCCGAGAAACGTGTAGCACGCGAGGACCCCGTGCGGCGCGGCTGGCGCCAAACCAGCGGAGCGCTAAATAACGCAACCTGACAGGCCTGTTTAAGGGGTGGGAGGGACGGAGCGAGGAGCGGTTAGTATGCAAGCCGCGTGAGGACGCGCTCTCCGATCGAGGTGACGACCGCGCGTACGTGCTGCCCTCTTATCGCGCGTCGAGAAGCGCACCTGCTGGTGACTTCTGTGGTTAGTGGTGCGATCGAGGAACTGCGCCGCAACCCGTTCTCATCCAGCGCAAGGAGAGAGAAAAAAATAAATAAATAAAGACCCACCGGTACCGCGACACCTGACGACAGCTTTTGCAGCGCTCCTCCTCGCCAGATTCAGCGCCGATAACCTCGAACGCTTCGGGGACAGCGAACTTGCCCCTCCGAAACACTCTGCGGGAGGTTTTTTTTTTCTGTATGAGTAGACGTGCGTGTAGGGAATCGTATGATGCGCACGAAGGTAACGCAGAGCATGCAGGAATCTGACCTCTGCGGAGGCTCCACGAAGGAGCCTTAGAAACAAGAACACTCCTACCAACGCCCTTTAAATGCGTGCGTGTGTTTCAGAATGTCATTTTATAACACACATACACACACGTTCCAGCTCGATTTGCACCGTGCCTTCTTCCTCTACAGTTGGGGTGCCTTCCTATAGGACTGGGACTTATTCGAATTCAGGTAGCGTGCTCCTGCGCGTCTATCTGTGTGAACAATCGGACCACGGTGTACCTGGAGAATGAAGCAGAATGCTCGTACATGGATTTTTTGTTTCGCACGCGCATCTGTACACGCTCACTTTTCTTCGTAAAACGACCTTCGCGACTACAATCACAGATTCAGAAGCTGTATAACTGGCTTGATAAGCAGTGTATACAAATACAAGCAGACAAGAGAACTGCAGCATCGAACATCTGTAGAATACACGTGGTCGTGACATGTGTTATATGTATATTCTGTATGTGCAGAGACATAAAGCGTCGACACTTTTTTTTATATATATATGAAACACATGGGGAGAGAATCTGCGTTATGGCCAGCTATCTAATTATCATGACGTTAATATTGAAAAAAAAAATAACGAACCCACTAGAACCAATAATGAAACAGAAAAGAAAACAACATAATCAGAGGCATTAGAGCTGCACACATACGATCTCGTATAACTCTAAGGGCAGCGAGAAAGAGAGAATAAGAGCTAAAGGAGAGCAAAGGGAAAACACTACTCAGAAAAAAAAGATAAATATAACAAACGCAGGGAGGTTACCCTATTCTGGGGAAGGGGAGGGAAAGCTGCGTCAGTGACTGAGCGTTACGGAAAGGGTAAACACGCCACTAGACGTCATTCGGCCTTTGCGCAGTCACTTAATTAACAATGTGTTAAGCTACTGGCCCCGTTTGACTTGGTGTTCGTATACAACTCATCAGCTATACGACACGTATACAGTCGATCGCCCGCCTGCTAAAAGCGGCGTTGCGCTTGCCGCATGTCAATGATTGCGGCGACCGTTCCAGCTCCCATCGTGATTCAGTGACGTAAACAACGTCGTGACGGCATGCACTCATGGAAACCTTCACCCCTGACCCTTCTACGCCTTCCGCGTTTTTATTTGGTGATCAATTTCAGCTGCATCTATATATATATATGGCAAAGCTCAAATACGCCGGTCGAATTTCGCACAGTTGTGGTCGCTGGTGTGCATGTTTTTACGGTGCTCGCGGCCACTGAACAGAAGGTGACGGGTTCGATCCTGGCAGCAGTGGCCGAATCATCGATGGAGGCGATAAACGATAGAGGTCAGTGTACTTATACGTTTAGAAGCACGTAAAAGAATCGCATGTAGCCAAAATTTCCTAGCCCTCCACTACGGCGTACCTCGTAACAAATTAACTATTTTTGCAAATAAATGCGCCAGCAATCATACTTATCTTTGCCTATACTTATACTTATACTTATATAGTATACTTATACTTATACTTATGTCTGCCGTGAGTGCCACACGAGGCACCTTCCCCCCCCCCCCCCCGCCCCCACACACACACCTACTCCGGAAACATCTCCTCTGCCATGGGACACATAGCACAAAATGACCATTGCCGACATTGGCATGGTAAACATGTTATTTTTTAACCGCATAGAGTGCAGCATTTTTCGTATCTCCGACACAAGTTGTTCATAGAATCTTGGACGAAATGCTGATCACTAAAATAAAACTAAATACCTTGGAAAAATGCAAGTAAGCCGACACTCTGCCATTAAAGCCTTTTCGAGGGGGATTATTAGCGAACCGGCTTACAGACTGCTGCAGGGCAAGGACATCACTCCGCATACCATTACTTGGTTTCCGGCGCACATGGGGTTAGTAGAAAGATCCCTACGTAACCTCAACGAGGTGGCGCACAGGGAGGCCCGAGGGGCATTAGTGTGCCATGCAATCCCTGAGGCAGCTGAATCTCCCGCTCCGGAGTTTAGGGACCTGCTGTTGACGTACAACGATATAAGCAAACATTATTACTTATAGAGCACAGGGAATTCCCCTTGCTACATTCTAGACTTAACAGGCCACAGGCGGTTACATTAAGACTTCTGCAGACGTGGACGTACCCCAACCCCGCCGTCATGAATAAAATTAATCCGGACTGCGGGGTTTCGATTTATTGTAGTAAGTGTTGGGGCTTGCCCGATTTTGAACACATGCTCTGGCGCTGCTCGGCAATGGCCGGTGCGGCTTCTCGCGGTGAACAGTGGTGGCAGCGAATGCTGCACAGTCACGCGCTGGCGGACCAACTCAGGGCTGTCCAGAGGGCCCGTGTGGCAGCAGAGGGGCTTGGCCTCTCTGTCCCGACCTGGGAGCAGCCAGCATCAGTCCTGGACTGATCCTCAGGACTTCAATAAAGTTCTCCATACCGTACCATATACCAAGACGCCGCAAGCAACTGGAAAATTCCACAAGCGACTCGGTGAAACAAGAAGCCCAAAATCCACCAATCATCTGCGAAACTGGCCACTCTTGCTATACGTGTTCAGTCGCACCATTCTGTTTGGCGCTTAGAACTCTTAGGACACAGTGTACGCTGGTCTGCCGCGTGTCTTGTAAAATTGACTCTGACGACTCGACACTCCATCAGACGCGCACACGCACCTTTCCTGCCAGTGAAATGCAGGACACGCCCCGACATAGAATCA